ACACACAATGGCTAAAATCCTGTTGCTTGGGGCAGGTACGTCACATAAAGTAGGCCCAGTGAACCAGTGGGAATTTGCTGAGTCAGCTCCTCTGTACATCGAATGGATTCAGTTGACTCCAGTGTGACGATCTACACTAAACAACAGGATTTCAGCCAGCAAAAGGAGTCCCCTGCTACAGAAGCTCCATCGGCTGCCGATCTGTTTCCGAGCATAATCCAAAGTGCTGGTTTTAACCTATAAAGGCCTAAATGGCCTGGGTTCAAGCTACCTCAAAGACCGTATGTCCCATAATGAGCTGACTCGGGTGTTAAGATCAGCAGGAGAAGTCTTTCTCTCAGTCCCGTCACCTTCAAAGGTGCATCTGATGTGGGCACGGGAGAGGGTCTTTTCTGTGGCTACTCCTTTAGACTCTGGAACTCCCTGCCACTGGAGGCCAGGCTGGCCCCATCTTTGCTGTCCTTCTGCAAGCAAAGCCCTTTCTTTTCAGGAAAACCTTCCTTCAGACAACCAGCTAGCTGTGTGTGATGGATTGCAGATGGATTGTTATGCATGACTGCTTTGACTGTGTTCTTTGTATTGCTCGTGTTTACCGTTTCTCAGCGTGGTATTTGTTCATTGCTTTCAAATATTTGCCTACTTCTTGTTTTTAGCTTTAAACATTGTCTTTTAATGATATAAACCACCTTGGATCCTTTTGAAGGAGAAAGGTGGGGAAAATATCTTAAATAAATAAATGGAGAGGGGGAAGGGCTCAGCAAGTACAGTGGCTTCCTGCAGCTCGCAATTTTGGGCGACCACATTGCAATCTGTGCTTCAGAATGCCAATTTTAATTATAAGTATCTTACATAAATGTTGATGGATTCAACAGCTCATTTCAACGAATCAGTGAAATTTGTCCAGTTTATTCCATTTCATTTAGGGTTTTATTTTCCCTGCAATGTGTTCAATTTAAGGAATACAAGGTATTTAATGAATTGACTTAACATCCAATACAAGTATATTTATTTACTTATATTTAGTGAACTCCAGAAATGTATTAGGAGGCTATTAAGCCCTTTTTTTATTGATTTGCTGTCTTTGGTACCTTTTGCCCAAGACCTGGTGAGTCTAATAAGAATAACTGATAACAATAACTAATAACAATAATTAATAATAACAAGAACTGCAAAGCTACAAGGGACCCTATAATGTTCTTTCACAACATATATAATTCTGTTTAAAATACAGGTTCTCATCCTGACGTATCTCACAAAAAAAAAGAAATACTAATAACCAAGTGGGCCCCTTCCTGATTTTTCACTACAATATCCAACATTTCTCAACAGCTACTGAGGTCTGATTCATGTAGGTATGTGGTGGCGCAGTGGGTTAAACCACAAAAGCCTCTGGGCTGCAAGGTCAAAAGATGAGCAGTTCAAATCCACGTGACGGAGGGAGCTCCTGTCGTTCGTCCCAGCTCCTGCCAACCTAGCAGTTCAAAAGCATGTAAAAAATGCGAGTAGATAAATAGGTACCACCACGGTGGGAAGGTCACAGCATTCCGTGTCTAGTTGCACTGGCCACGTGACCACGGAAACTGTCTACGGACAAACGCTGGCTCTATGGCTTGGAAATGGGGATGAGCACCGCGTCCTAGAGTCAGAGATGACTGGACTAAATGTCAAGGGGAACCTTTACCTTTATCTTATGTAGGGTACTCCGGCAATATCCAGAATCATAGAATGATTGTGTTGGTAGGGGTCTATATGGCCACTGAGACCAACCTCTGCTCAATGCAGGAATCAAAATCAAAGCAGATCTGGCAGCTGGTTGTCCAACTTTCTCTTGAATCCCTCCAGCATTGGAGGGCTAATCACCTCCCAACGTCATTGATTTCATTGTCGTACTGCTCTAACCGATAAGAAGTTTTTTTCCCTGATATTCAACCTAAATCTAGCTTCCTGTAGCTTGAGCCCATGATTCTGTGTCCTGTACTCTGGGATGATCAAGAATCTAAGATTTTAGCCATGCAGGATAAAAATGAAGCTCTAAAGCCAACCAGATAAGCAATGTAACCATCAGCTTGTTCATTAGACGCCATTTGCTGCCACAGTTTAACACGATTCCATTTGCTCCAGAGTAGAATCCCAATAGATTCTGGACGATGGGATTTATTTAATGTGCTAATTTACCCACGCTGT